TTTTGCCCGGGCATTAACCAGATTCGAGTATTGAACGTAACATATACATCCATCACAATTCGGGTTACATCTCTATCTTTTACCGGCAATGTTTCTGCATACAATCTGCCTAGAAGTTCGTCTACGGTTAGGCTCCACATTAGTGGGGATAAAACTCCTCTTTGCGGATATCCTCTGGTTGTGCAGACGGAGATGGTGTCATGTCCTATCTATGTTTCTGCAGTTCTCGTAGATAGCAGCTGAGCAATCCATTTGGATGTGGTGCTATCTACGCCTCTGTATGCAAGTGCTCTTTTGACAGATTCGTGTGGCGTTTTGTCAAATACTCCTTCTATGTCTAAGAAGGCACACACGACCGTTTCTTTGCTTGTCAGTGCATCCTTGATTACATCAGTCACCTGTGCCAGGACAGTTTCTGTAGATTTTCCTGTTCGGTACGAGTGATGGCTGTGTGTGGGTGGAGTGGCACCATCTCCAGGATTTCTATTCTGATGTAATTATCAACAGCCATCTCCATTGATTTTAATACAATGTATGTGAGGCTAATTGGTTGAAAGGATTTGGGATGTGTGGGATCCTTTTCCCTACTTTTGGAATAAAGGCGACTCTGGCCTTTCTCTATGGTTGTGTTCCAGTTCCAGGCTACTTAGGAATATCCGGATTAAATGTGGTAGTAATTGATCCTATGCCCGCTGAAGCAGTGCTGGAAATATTCCATCCACACCTAGAGAATTTGTAATAATTAATAGTTAATTTGTAATAACCTTGGTAATTTCTTTAACCAATTTACTTTTATGAAAAATAAAATATTTAAAGTTATATCTATTTAATTTTGACTAATCCAAATGAATATATGGGCCTATAGATTTCTCAGTCGTGAATTCAGGCTTTTCTAATAAACACTGGGGAATATTTTTAGGGTATCTGGGCGCCAATAACTTTCTTTTTTATTTTTAAAAAGCTAGTTGAGAATCCAAAATTACAAAATTAACTGAATAACTCAAAGTTATATATAATTTTAGCAAAAAGAGAATTGTCGCACCAATCAAAATAAGATTCAAAAAGAATATAAATAAATTTTGGTTTATTATTCAACAGTGGGAATGTTTATATTTTTACAATTACCACATAAAACTTACGAATAATATGAAAAACAAGTGTATTTATAAGCATTTGCAACTAGTTGGCGTCTATGATTTCATAAATTAAAAATAAAATAGGCATAATACAACCTCAATCTCCTCGGTGGGCTTTACTAGATCGATACTCAGATATAGAAGTGGGAATCGGTACGTTGATTTTCTGCAATTCAACTCAACGAGTCGATTTTTAATGCCTTGATGTGTTACAGATAGAACAAGGTTTAGTTTTGATAGTTGGAAATCGGAAATCGATCCTCAAGTTGCCTAACATTGGCTCTCTAAACAAAAAATAAATTCTGTTTTTCACGATGGGATTATAAGAAATATAAGTTAAACTTTCAAATAATTATTTTAAAATTACCAACAATTAATAAATTAATTAATACATTTATTTATTTTCGTACTAAAAATTAAGATTAACCATATGAACCGTAAATGAACTTCTAGGCAGATTGTATGCAGAAACATTGCCGGTAAAAGATAGAGATGTAACCCGAATATATTGCGTTGGATGTTTATGTTACCTTCAATACTCGAATCTGGTTAATGCCCGAAAAAAATGCGCAAAACTAATTTTGGATAACAAATATTTTCCAAACCCGAAGTTGTACTTTTATGCGGCGATTGAGTGTTACAAAATAGTAAGAACTAGTTTTGCAAATATTGAATTGAGCAAAACTAGTTTTGAATGACCCCTAGAAAGCGTTGCTTCTAAATAAAGCAAAAAATTACAAATTATGACTTAATTCAGTTTTCTTCGAGATGTGATATTGTCGCGTAAAAGCCTACCCTGTGCTTTGTTTACTCCTTGAACGCGGTATGAAGTCTAGCAATATAGAGACAAACGCACTGCTCCTGGAATCTACCAGAAAAAGCGGTATGTGGCCGTTGATTCATAGAGATGAAATTTTAGACATTCGAGAACATCTAGAAACTACTAGTACAGAGTTGAATTTGTATAAATAGCGCGAGTTCGTTGACGGACGGGCAGATTGGATTTTAGTGTTGGACAGAAAAGATAAATTGTAATAAATAAAATAAAATTGTGAGTGTCTAAGTATTTTTTCTATAAAAATGATTTTCTCCTTAGAAAGTAAAGAATCTTCTGACATTTCTACATTAGAAACTAAAGTTTCTTCTAACATTCTCTCTTTAGAAAATAACGTTTCGTCTGATATTTCATCCATAGAAGAAAAGGTGTCTTTGAATATGTCTTCCATGAAAAACGAAATCTCTTGTTTAGAAACTAAAGTTTCTTCTGATTTCTCTTCTTTAAAAGAAAAATTTCTTCCGACTTGCAAAACAAAATGTCTTCTCTGAAAAATTAAATTTCTGCTGATGTGGAAAATAAGATGACTTCTGTTAAGGAGAAAATAATGTCTTTTGTTGAGGAGAAAATAAAAGAGATGGAAAAGAAGATAGAAGAACTGGAACATACCGAACTGGCCAAGGACGGTGAAATAAAGTGCCATGAGTTGGAGTCAAAGTTGAAATTGGAAGGAGCTGTAAACTCTCCTCGTGTTAAAGCCCCAACTTTCGACGAAGAGATGACATGGACCAACTACCTTAAACAGTTCGAAACAGCTGCCAGAGCAAACGAATGGTCTGAACGAGAGAAGTCAGTAAATTTGACCATCGCTTAAGATGTTCTTCAGACAATACCTGTGGAAGAGACGGATGGTTTTGAAAAACTCAAAAATAAACTAAACATGCGATATGGCCACGAACACTTGGAGCAGGTGTACCGATTACAGTTGAAAAATCGTATACAGAAACGTGACGAGAACCTTCAAGAATTCAAATTAGATATTTCGAAGATAGTGCGATTTGCCTACCCATCAGCTCCGGAGTACATGATTAAATGTTTGGCTGTTCAAGCATTTGCAGATGGAATTCGAGACCATGAAATGCAAAGAACACTCCGTTTAGTCCGTGACAAAACATTGGTCGATGTCTTGTCCGCTGCTCTAGAATATGAAGCGGCTACGCTGGCTTCTGGTGGATACAGTGAAGTAAGGACTGAAAAAGAAGAAGAACAGGGAAACAAATTGGACTAATTGTTTCACAATGATAAAAAGCCTTATTGATAAGCAACCGAAGACTATTAGATGCTGGAATTGCGGTAAAATGGGAAATGTAAGCAGTTCGCGCAAACGCACAAAGAAAACTATTAATCGAAAAACTGTGCCGCGGGTATACAGGAAGGAAAAGTGTTGCCTGAAAAACATTAAATCATAAGAGTAACGTGGTTGCAAGGAGCTGTAGAGAAAGCAACGCCTGACATGGCAGAATCTTCGAAGCGCATGAAGGTATTGGTCAAGGAACTCTGATTGGAAAGGGGTTGGCCACATCTGCTAAAGATGTTACAGTACGAAGAACGATGGTTGCCAGCGATGAGTGAGTCCCTGTCAAACTTAGGGAAGTACAAGAGAACGATCCTGTTTTAAAGAAGATAAGACAATGGAAAGAGGAAAATCTTCGACCTACTTGGTAGGTATATTATAAATCACCACAACATATATTCCCTTGGCAAACTACCAGTGATCTAGAAGTAGAAGAAAATATACAACAAAAAGACGAAGCAACGCCTTCTTTTAGAGTGGCAGCTTCGTGGTCACCAGAAACTTTCAGCGTGACAGACATAGACTCCAATGGCCTGGACACAGCTCAAATTGATGTATGTTGAAGAAGCAAATAAAAAAGTTTAAAAATTTCCATTAGTAAGTAGTTATTTATGTATCAAGGGAATTATAAGGGCCTTAATTACCGATGGCAATTGCCTGAGGTTATTAAGGCCCACTAATTCCCGTGGTACATAGATAATTTTATTTCTGACAGATTTCAATAAAATTTTGTTCTTTTTAAAACGGAAAAAATGTACCAATTTATTACCTTTCCGGTATATTTGAATCAGGTACCGTTGATTATAAGAGTTTTGTTGTTGCTAGGTTGTTGCTATGGTACTTGTTTATAAACAGAACTTTGTTATCAAGCTGTGTTTGCGTTAAAAACTATTACTACCCCAAATATAATGGAGCAGATTTTGAAAAAAGCTAAAAAAGCAAGATAATCATTAATTCCATCGAATAGTGAAGCCGTATACCAAAAAGAATACAAGATATATCTGGAGTGGCTGACACGGAATAATGTTATGCCAAAATCAGCCATATAAAAGAAGAAATTGTTTGCAGTGGCGGTAGTAATTTTCAGGGAACATTTCAAAATTGTACATTTATTTTTTTTTAATTTGGAGTCATCGGCGTCGACTACTACGGCCATTAGCCTCTTGTACATTTATTATTTGTAATGACGCTAATAAATAAAATATGGTTCACTTTTCATTTCATAAATATATACACATGTACATTAGCATTTTTTATTTTATTTTTACTTGTGAATGGTAGAGGGAATTATAGAATCTATAATGTCACAAGGGAGCTATGACCCTCTGTTGTTTTTCACAGGTCCATACATTAGACAATACCTGTTCATTTTGAGTTCTAGCTTGATTTTCGTTGAACAAAGCTTGATTTTGTTCCAGTGTTTCCATGGGTTCCACGTGATTTTCCTGAATCATTCCTTGGCGTTTCATCGATAATAACGCTTTAGCCGGTGACGGTGGCTTTGAATTAAAATCTTATGTTTAGTTATTGATTGCGACACATTTTAACGCTATTTTTATAGGTACATTTTTATTTTTGTTTTTAAACATTAAATTTAGGAATCATTGTCACTTTTGTATAAACTATTACGATTAAAAACATTGGCAATTATTACGTGAAAGGGGCAATGTTATTATTTTATTTGCAAGCTTGAATAAAAAAGTTTCACAGTATAAAGTTTAAGATTTTGTTTTAGGCAATAACGAAATAATTATACCCGTACTGTATCCTGATGCAGCTTCTATTTTGAAAGTATTGAAAGAGCCACAGGTAAACTTATCCTTTAAAAACTTTTTTTTTCAAATTTTTTACACATGACTTTCCTTTTTTAGAATATAGAACAGAGTGGAGTACAAGACTTATTAAATTTTTATTATTCGGCACAAGCAAAGCTAAGCCAGTTTGTTGCATCAGGGGATGTTAAAAAATACCCCTTGATTGTTATAGAAGGTTTATCAGGTTCAGGTATGTTACAATTATGTTTAATATATATTTATTAGTAGCTTTTTAATTTTAATCTGTTAAAAACAATATTTTAGGTAAAACAACTATTTCTGAAGCTTTAGCTAAAAGAATTAATGGTACACGAGTACATTCTCCTTCACTCAAAGTAAAAACGTTACAAACTGGATTTCAGAAGAGATCTGTCATTTATAATGCTTACTACCAAATATCTCAATACATAACTGCCATGGAAATTATGCCTTTGTTAAAAGATGGCCCAATAATATTAGACAGGTAAGTTGTTTTTGTATGTAGAATTTAGGTAAAGCATTTTAATTTCAAGTTACCGTCATTTCGGGTGACTTGAGATGTTCTTAACTTTTCCAAAATAATATTTCTAAAACTATTCGACTTATCGACTATTTGAATACACAATAGTTTGAGTCTTGACCTGTAGAATCAATTTTCTTAATTATTAATCTTCACTTAGGCATAAGTTTTCATAAAAAAAAATATTCTTTTAATATTGTCGGCTTATGTGGTAGATTCTCCTCACAGGTATTTGCCATGCGTCAGCTAAGGACCTTCCTCGATAATAAATCAATTACAAATGTTTATTATGGTCTTATAGTGTGATGTCATATGTCATCCTACTGTAGGGAATGCATTAAAACTCGTAAAATATCTTTATGTAACGTTTTTTTATTTGAAAACAGTTTATTTAAAACAGTTTATTTAAAACAGTTTATTTAAAACAGTTTATTTAAAACAGTTTATTTAAAACAGTTTATTTAAAACAGTTTATTTAAAACAGTTTATTTAAAACAGTTTATTTAAAACAGTTTATTTAAAACAGTTTATTTAAAACAGTTTATTTAAAACAGTTTATTTAAAACCGTTTATTTAAAACAGTTTATTTAAAACAGTTTATTTATAATTTATTTACACCAAGTATAATCTAATTTATTTAACAATTTATCTTTACTTGACAACATTTATTTTAAAAACTTAACTTGGAACGGTAAAATAGTCCACGTATATACAAAAATGTAACAGCCTAGTAAAATCCATTCCTCACTCGAAGAATATTGATGCGTTCGCCAAATTCTTCGTCCACCGCCGGCCTGCGTACAAAGAACATTCCAGTCAATTTTGGATCGGCTAGCGTCAGCGATAACGGCAGCGGTGAAGGTAAACAAAGAACAGGGTCAGACTGGTTGCACATAATTGTCTCCTCCTTAAGAGATTGTTCCTTCTTGTACAAAAACTAAATATTTGTATCTGCAACTAGACCCTCTTTTACAATTTCCATTTCCATGAAAGTAACAAAGAGCGGTTTTCACTGTAACCTGCACACAAGGCGAATGGCTTCAGACCAGTATTTAAGCCTTGGTATCTTAAAAGATTACTTCCACCGTGTTTCTAATGATTCTCCAATTCAGGTGGTATGTACCTATTCCCTCAGATTAAGTAAGCTTTCCATATATAATGATAAGTGTATCGATCTCAGAAGGTGTTCTTTGTTGCCAGTTAGAAAAGGTAACGTGATCCATCTTGAAGTTTTAAGGCTTTTCCAGGGGCTGAAAAATGACTTTTGGCAATCGACCAAGCTTCTTCCGAAACACAGATATCAGCACAGATGTCAGAACTCGAGTTGCTGGTGAAAGTTCTATGGACCAGCGACTAATCTTTAAGGACCGTGAGCAGAAATTGTTTGTTGCTTGGTTGTAACACCATATCTTGCTTTTCAGGTACCTCTGTATGCACCAATACATTTTTCAAAGACAAGGTCGGGTGTTTCTTGGCGCTGGTTTACTTTTCCTCATCATGGTTACCCTCAAATGGCGCTAGCAGGTTTTGATGCACTAATTTTGGTTTACTGTTCGGGATCTTGCTTATACGGTAAATGACATAATTCACGTTTTTTTGATGATGTACGGGCCTTCCCAAGACCTTTGAAACTTCGGATAATAACCCTTTTGCCTTTTTGGGTTATAGAGCCAGACTTTGTCGCCTTAGTAACATTTTTCTGTGGCTTGGGTATCGTATCGTTTATTCATTCTGTGGCTAGTGATTTGAAGATATGAACTAACCAACTCATGTCGTCGTTCGTAACTGGATCAAGTAATCTTCACCGGCTATGTTTTCTCCAGGTCGCCTCAAAACTTGAGATCGCACTGTAGTCTCATATCACACCCGAACAGGACTGTTGCTGGTGTTGTGCCTGTTGTTTTATTAACAGCAGATCTATATGCCATTGCGAAGAGTGAAATATACTGATCCCAATCTTGCTGATAAAAAAACTACTTTTGACAGGTGTACTTGCCAATGGTCTTATTCATTCACTCTACCAATCGATCCAACTGTGGATGCAATGCTGTAGTTCTGTTTTTTTTTTCATGCCTAATCTGTCACAGATTATTCGGAAAAGCTGACTTTCAAAAGTTCTGCCTTGGTCATTGTGGATTTCCAAGGGCACTCCAAATAGACTGATAAGCTCTTTTATCAGCACGTTTGCAATAGTTGCGGCCTCTTAATTTGGAATGGCGTAGACTTTCACCCACTTCGCGAAATAATCCATTACTATCATCATGTATTTATTATCATTCTCAATTATGGAGAATGGTCCAAGAATATCCTCAAATGGGCCACTGACGTTGTATTGTTTTCTTTTTCGTTAAGGTCCATTACTCATAGCACAGATGATACTATATTTCTTTACATCATTTTTACATCATCGGAACTGTATATCCAATGAAACCTTTCACCAACTCTCTGAAGGGTTTTCTTAATATCGAGATATCCTCCTGATGGACTGTCGTAACTGACGAAGTACTTCGGCTACTGTAGTCTTAAGAATGACCAATTGTTTTCTGTTCATCATAATTCTCGAATACTCACCTTCTTCTAGAATAAAAGAGTTCCACTGAGCCAAATATGACAACTATTGGAGAAAGTTTTGATACTTCTTGCCAAGTAGGTCGGCGGGTTTCATCTTTAAAACGGGATCGTTCTCTTGTTCTTGCCTAATTTTGGTAGGGACCCACTCATCGTTATCTACCGTTGTTCTTCGTACTGCAACTTCTTTAGCAAACTAACCCCTTTCCAATTAGAGTTCTTTGATCAACACATTCATTGCACATCGAATATTTCATCATGACAGGCGTTCTTTCTTCCACAGTTCCTTGTAGTCGAGTTACTCTTATGGTTCCAATTCTACCTACCAGGTACCACCGTTCCTTCCGGTAAAGCTATTATTTTCCTGTTTTTCCTTTTTTACAGTCATTACGTCACTGTATACACCAGAAGCCAGTGTAGCCGCTTTATATTCAAGAACAGCAGACAAGACATCGACAAATGTTTTGTGACGGGCTAAACGGAGTGTTCTTTGCATTTGATGGCCACGAGGTCCATAAAAAAATGCTGGAACAGTCAAACATTAAATCATGTATTCTGGAGCTGATGAGTAGGCAAATCGCACCATCTTCGCAATATCTAATTCGTATTCTTGAAGGATCCCTTTACGTTTCCGTTTACGATTTTTAACTATTGATGAAATTACATTCAACATGTCCTATCTGTAGGGCAGATTAACCTAAATCCGCACTTAACAAATAAAAAAGAATAAAATACTAAATAGACACTCCCTGTATAAACCTCCGCACTTAACAAATAAAAAAGAATAAAATACTATATAGACACTCCCTGTATAAACCAATTATCCAAATCTGCTCAATAACAACCCCTTTTAACTTTCAAATAACCTTCAAAGACACCTGCTTCGTCGAGAACAGTTATAAATAATCACGAGAGACATTTCACCCAATCATAAGACAGATCTTAAAAACAATACTCTCGCGTGCAAACATACGAGAAAAGAGAGCCAATTAGAAGGAATGTAAAAAGCCGGTGTGGGTTGAGAAGCATCGCTGAACAAAACTAAACTCTCACTTTCGCTTTCTCTTTCGGACAAGCAACAAGTCACAAAAACTATAACCTAAAAAGCCGGCATTCGCGGTAACCATTCCAAGCATATGCGATTTGATTTATAAAGTTACTATGTAACTTATCAATAATTCTATGTAACAAAGTTGTAAATGTGTTAAATGTGAACGTATCAAGCAGTGAATATATCAAAATCAAGTGTAGGGTAATGGTTTTATTTTAACACACCCAGTGCTTCAACTAGAACTTCAAGAATATCTTCCAGAGGCTACAGGGTGGGGCATAAGGCCTTTACCCCAGGTAATCTAATTTGAATACAGTCCACCATGATCGAAGGCAGTGTACGTCAAGCCCAATAAAGCTAGGGTTTAACAACTATAATTGGTACACCTGCTCTAAGTTGTTCAAAGTCATCTGTCTTTTCCACAGGTCTAGTCTAAAGAATATCTAAAGCGTCTCCTCGAAGGATGATGGTGAAATTTGTAACATTTTCTTTCAAACCATTCGTTCGCTCTCGCAGCTGTAATTAAATGTTGTACTATTTTGTAAATGAAAATTATTGAATATTGAATTCTACGTTAAAATAAGCTTTGCATTCCAAACATTGATAAAAATAATAATGGAGACTCTTAATAAAACGTCGCTGAACCTTTTCTAAAGTTAAGACGTGTACATTTTAATTAGGGGACCGTAACAATTTGCAAGTATCTGGATTATTAAAATCTTTGATAGACCATAAGATGGCACCTAGGACTTTATAACACGACGCGACAGTTACGGCAAGATGACTAACGAATGATAATTTTAAATCGAATACAACGCCAAGGTCTTTAATCGTGTCAGGTCTCTGCAGGACGACTCCTCTTATATTGTAATCGTATCTTATACAATCAATATTTCGCGTATATGACATAACGTTGCATTTTGCAAGATTTAACATAAGATTATTAATTATACACCAATTGTGAATTTTGTTTATATTGGATGGCAGTAACGCACATTCATTGATGTTTGAAATAAGCTTCAGGTCATCAGCGTAGAGTAAATATTGTACATTTACATTATTACAATTATCGCTAATAAAGATTATAAAGGACCTAAAATGGAAACTTGTGGTACACCGGAAACTTGAGATATCAAGCAAGATTTAACACCACTAATAAGAATATACTGAGATCGATTACTTAAATAGGAACGAAGGAGAGATAGTACATTGTCAACATATTCATCTTGGATAACAAAATTGGATGACTAAGGCGATCGAATGCTTTGGTGAAGTCAGTGTAGATCACATCTACCTGATCACCTCGGTACAATATTTCGCTGATAAATTGAGTTTTAATAGCTAGGTTAGTAACGGTAGATCTCCCACGAACAAATCCATGTTGTTCAGGTAAAATCGAGTTTTCGATATGCCTATAGTAAAATTTGGTAACAGTGATTTCGAATACTTTACTAAAATTGCAGATAATAGCGATTGGTCTATAATTTGTAATATCATTTCTGTTGCCCTTTTTTGTCCACCAGGACAGTTTTTGATATTTTTCATTTCTCGGGAAAAACAGACGTGGATATTATCAGATTAAAAATGATACTAAGCGGCTTAGCAAAAACAAATAAACCATCACGCATAAGAAACGCAGGAACATTTTCTGGACCCATAGTCATATTTGCCTTCATTCGCTTAATTGACTCGATTACGTCGTCCTTGGGGATCTTGGGCATTGCCAAAGCGTGGTTAGGAGAAAGAACATCAAATAAGGGGGATTAACATTTACAGGGTTGTCTAAAAATGAGTCACTAAAATAGTCGGAAAAATCAGATGCAATAGTGGCACTAGTTTTTAAATCAAAGACATTATAACACATATTGGCTGGTAGTGAGTTACATTTCTTTTTGGAATTATAGAATGACCAAAAATTTTTTATATTTTATATTATTTTCCATCTCTTATTTTCGTATCCATAGAACAAACTTTCAGACTACACCTTTATTAATAAGGAAGAAATTGAAGAAATTATAGCAGAAATATTATCCGAAAATAGAAACGTAGGTATCCGGATCCAAACCCTCACTTTCTATTGTTTATTTAAGCCGCTCTGCCAACTCTGCATTCTTTCCTGGCATCTCCAGATCATGATTCTTTAGTTTCCGATGTAAATCCGTTACTTTTAAATCACACATTTTTTTTAGTAATTTTTTTCCACTATTTACAAAATCTCGACTTCCAACACCAATGTAACGTTACTTTATTCATGATTTATTACTAATTAATTATTTATACTTAAGCACTATTAAATATGTTACACTTAAAATCTAATTTATTTAATAATTTATCTTTACTTGAAAACATTTATTTTAAAACTTAACTCAGTAAGAATCCACTTATATACAAAAATGTAACAGCCTAGAAAAAATCCAATCTTGACTCAAAGAAACTCGATGCGTTCCCCAAATTATATTACTGCTAATCGCCACTCATCAAATTCCACAACAAACCGTGTAAATTTATGAAAAATTCACAATGGTTTGTTCTGAGTTTTGAACCTAAGCGTCGACCGTCAGTAAACTTAATACACGAGCACTTAACGCGTGCAACTATCTACCGAGCTGATGGTCGTCAATATAAACTAATATTTCTCTGCTCTGTTCTATATTTATATTCCTATTTTATATTAAAAAAACATTTTCTTCTAGATATTACCCTTCATCGGCAACATACAGTATTGCCCGATCAGTAGTTTACAATCCCGGCAGCTTAATGCCTCCAAAGGGAGACAAAATTTACAATTGGCCCGACGATTTATTAAAACCAGACATAGTAATTTTCCTAGAGGTGGATGAAGAAGAAAGAAATCGGAGACTAACAAGCAGAACAAACAAACCACACACACCAAAACCACTAGGGCAGAATGAGATTACGCTGCACAAGAATTATGATTATAGAAAAAAGTAAGTATAAGTTTGTACCGGGTGATAGGGCCATCCTTACATCTCTTTCGTCTGTAAACCAATATTTGTAGACTTATTTTTTCGTGTTAGGAATACGACTACTACCTATATAACTTAATAAAATGCCAGTCGTCAACTAGAATTAGCAGATATGGTGGTGGGATATTAGCCGAACCGAATATCAGCTACAAAGCCAGAGATCATAGAGATAGCGAGGATATCGTAGTTGCCATATCTTGGATGTGAAAGCACGGCTATGCCTAATACAAAATAATAAGTACCAGTGTTGCATGTCTAGTACAATTGTACTAGATTGTACTCTAATACATTCGAAGCAAAATCTAGTACGTTTTCTATATTTAGTCTGTTTCCATTTGACGGATAAAATGTATTGTTTAGTCCTTCCTTGTTTGTGTTCGTTCTCGATAAAAGTTTTTTTTGCTCTTCAATAAACCGAACCATCACAATTCGAAAAATATGTTACAATTTATAGAATCTGGTACATTTTTATGGAATCTGGTATATTTTTATGGAATCTGGCATAGGCGCCGAATCCCCGGGGCTCTGCGTGCGCAAGCACCCAGAGCAGTCTTAAACACATAGTGCGGAGCACCCATAGCACAACGAGGAGAGAAAGTGTCAATAAGTAAAATGAAGAAGCTGTCATGGCACAAGTTGGTATAGCGACAGATGCCTCAATAAAATATTGTCGTTCGGAGCTGTATTTTTTGTGATAAAAAAGTCGCCGTGACTTGTCATAGACAACGTGTTGAACTTGGACTTAAGGGTTTACTATTCTTGGTTTATAAAACCCTATGACGTCAAAAAAGAAAGATTAATAACGGTCTACAATTATCAAGACAAGATCTTTGTACATATGCCATTGAGAAAATGCTTGAGGGGAAAAGGGTGATCATTTAAAAGTTACTCCCGATCAAGCACCGTTAGAAAAGAACGTTTATTTAGTGTTAAAAACAGCTTTCTAGTATTGCTGGTGAAAAACCAGGTCATCTACTAAAAAATGCTTGGAACCGTCAAATAATTTTTTTAGGGAGAAACATTGTTTTGGCAGTTTCACCCCCTGAGCAGAAACCCTCTATCGGGGGTGAGACTCACCAGTTATATCTTAAATGGAAAGATTAGTGGAATGTGTTATTTTAAAGGTATTTTTACCTAGATTTACCCCCAAGTTTTACATCACTACTATCTATGTAGCCCATGCACTGGCTCACCAAAAGTACAAAATCGGTTTAACATAATTTTTACATTGTTATTAAAAAAAAGGAATTCTTTGTAACAATTCCACTTTTATTCCTGTGGCTTTCAATTATTGTTACCAGATGACATTCTTTGGTCGCCGTAAAGTGATAAGGTTTAGTTTATTTCGTTGTAGATTCGGCATAAAAGTGGCATATCAGTGATAATGATTTACTATATTGCTGAGCGGGTCAGCGGGTGCAAATAATTTCACTTTTTTGCGAACAATGAATGTGCTAATAGAACTGCCTAATTGTTTAACAATCAACATCAAAATCGATAAGTCCATCAAAACTACATTTTGGAGTTAGTCCAAACATTTTGGAAAACGGGGTCAGTAGCTAACAAATAACGTGAAATGGAAAATTCTGTAGTAAATGAAGCTACAGAGGTGGCGATTTTAGGACATGTTGTTCAAGAACCCATATTGAGTACAATACAGTTGGCGATAACATTCAGAAGATATTGAAAAAACACAAGTTTCATCCCTACAAAATACATCTGGTAAAAGAACTTAACAAAGACGATTTTAATAGGCGATTACAATTTTGTGAAATTATGACTGAACGGGCATTAAATGATCATCAATTTCTTTTTAACGTGTGTTATTCAGACAATGCACTTTTTTCCTAAATGGTACGGTAAATCGCCACAACTGTGGTTATTGGTCCGATTCAAATCCAAGAATATTTCATGAAGTGCATACGCAACATCCGGAAAAACTGAATGTTTGGGCTGGCATTTTTGGTAACCGTATAATGGGCCCCTTTTCTTGCCAGAAACTTTAACCGCAGAAATGTATCTGGAATTATTAGAAAACGCTATTTATCCAGCATTACTAGATTTGATTGAAATTGACGATTAATACATAGCAAACAACTTAATAGTCCAGAATAACGGTGCGCCACTGTTCGTCAGTATTTGGATCAAACGTTTCCAGGTTTCTAGGATCGAAAAAAGAGGAAATATTCAGTGGCCCCCACAGTCTCCGGATCTAAGCCCGTTGGATTTTTTTATGGGGCCACTTAAAACTAAAATTTATGCCACCCAGCCAACATCACTGGAAAATCTGCGACAACGGATAATTGATAAATGTCATCAAATCACCCCACAGATGCTTCAAAATGCATTTTGAACAAAACCTCTATTATTGAATGGAGGCCCAGGGTCAGCATTTCTAGTATTTACTCGAGTAACTGGTAGGCTTTTACAGAAAATAAAAATCGTTAAAAGGTCATGGCTAGGAAGACGGTAGCGATTTAAAATTCGGGGGTTATAATCTATGTAAAAATACCTTTAAAATACCAGTGATGGCTGCAGCGAGCATATAGAGTTGCCAGATATCCCGTTTTAGGTGGGAGCGTCCAGCCTATTAAGCAATTGGACAGTTGACATTACCTTTTTTTTTTCAAGAAAATTTTCACAAAATCAACTTTAAAATAGCGTTTTAAAATACCGGTGGTGCCTTTAAGTGAGGTGTGGATAGTGGGGGGGGAAAGCCCCCATTTTCCGCATAGAAGCCGGGCACCCAAAGCAATTTTTAAATTCTGGCGCCTATGGAATCTGGTACATTTTTCAGACAAATATGGTACATAAAAAAAATTATATTCTGGCAACACTGATAAGTACTGTATATATAAACAGTTATGAATTTAGAAAAAATGCTGGCTAAAAAATTGTTAAAGGACCCCGCACACTGCTTACAGAAAAGTGGCGACCTGTTTAAATGTCATAAATTTTTGATATGTTGCAGTTCTCGCCCTCTTAAGCAATAGTGTCCCATGGGACCATTCAAATCCTATGACTGGTTTTTGAGATGCAGGGAGTTAAACTTAAGAAATATCACTTATTTGATAACGGTTATTTCAACAGAAAGCTAATCGATTATAATTTTTTGTGCAAAATCTCATTTGGCATTCTACAAATATAAAATGAGCTCAAAAATTATTTTCCTTTACAGGGTGGGCCACAAATAACTAAGGACGTGTTTTTGATAAATACTTTTATTGTTCTATAAGGTAAAAATATTTACTAAAAAAATAAATTATTGCTATATTTATCATGTCTGATGATATTACAAAAGATATTAGGTGCCATTTATACAGGGTGATTCGTAAATATCAACATAGGCCAATATATTTTTTTATAAATATTAATGTAAAACGCAGTATTTTAACGGGACTTTTGTGTATTTACCATATGTATAATTATCCAATTCATTAAGAACAGGGTGATTTAATAAATATATTGATAGTTAATTTATAGAATGTGTCAAAAAATATTTTTTTAAGCACTCTATACTTTTTGATTAGTCCTGAAAAAGTAGATATATTTTTTCACTGGCGTATCAATTATCCTGTAGAAAATATTTTCCAAAATTATAGCTTTCTTCTGATTGGTGTTAAACTTAGAAAATTACCGTTTTTTATTACCAGTTACTACAAGAAAAAGCTAATCAATTATAATTTTGTGTCTACTATTATTTTGACATCCTTTGACACTCCACGAATATACATTCACAGTCCAAAAATATTTGTCTACAGGGTGAATCATAAATAAGTAAGGACAAATACAAAAAAATAATTATTGCCATATTTATCATTGTTAATGATAATACAAAAGCTTTTAGGTGTTATTTATACAGAGTGATTCGATTTTTTTAATGAATGTGAAATTCCGTATTTTCAGTTGACTTTTGTGTATTTTTTATAATATTAACATAATGTTACGCAGCACCCTGTAGCGTGCTGCGGTCATCATAAGTAAAGGTACGATAGAATGAAGAAGATAGAATATTCCCGAAAGGTCTCGAAATGTCATTCCTTGTCAAAGAAAAGTCCAGATTGTTCGAGAAGGTTCCAGAAGGGGAGGCAAGCTATATAAGGCGACGACCTGACGTCAGAGTTTTAGTTTTATGATAGACGTTAAACGTTAATGTTAACAGTTAAAGTTATTGTGTCAGTTGAATTAAGTTATTGTAAAAGTTGAGTTCAAATAAATTGTGATACCAAAAACCAGCATAACATTTGTGACAGAGGCGGGATACAAAGAAGTTCATGGTAAATACTAGATCCACTGAGTACGAAGCAGGCATGGACACTTCAGGTCCACCAGCATGGTTTTTGAGGATGGAAGAGGAAAGAGTAAGGCGAGAAGAAGAAAAGGAAAGACGTAGGAAGGAAGAAGAGGAGGAAAAGGAACGGCGTAGGAAGGAAGAAGGGGAGAAAAAGGAACGGCGAGAAGAGGAGAAGGAAAGGCGTAGGTAGGAAGAAGAGGAGGAAAAGGAACGGCGTAGGAATTAAGAAGAGGAGGAAAAGGAAAAAACGTCGGAAGGAGGAAAAGGAAAGGCGTAGGAAGGAAGAGGAGGGGGAAAAAGAAAGGCGTAGGAAAGCTGAGGTAGAAATTATAAATGGTTTGATACAAATTCAGGAAAATTTCAAGCAAGAGGTAGGTCAAATTAACAGTCGAGTAGATATCTTTAAACAACAACAAAATAATCTAGAAACTAAGTTAGAGCAACAACAAGAGAATCTAAAAGCTAACTTAGAGCAGCAACAAGAGAATCTAAAAGCTAACTTAGAGCAACAACAAGAAAAGGCTAGAGCAGATTTGGAAAGGCAAATTAGAACTTAAATAGTTGAGTTAGAAAGAAGAATTCGTAGCCAAGCTCCAATAAACAACGTTGAAGCTGAAAACACTACTTCGTCTTCATCCATAACCGAACCAAGCCACATTCGAATCCCAGTT